TCAACACTACTATATGTGTATCTATCTATCCAATAGTTAGATATCCTAAGACAGATATATGTATCTTTATATCAAATAGCAAGATATGCCAACACTACTATCTATGTATCCCAGCCAATATCTGTTATCTATCTATGAAGTAACCATATATGCCAACACTACTATCTATGTATCTCAGCCGTTATCTATCTATCTCTCAGGTAGCCCGACATCTTTGGGCGCCAGAAAACCTGACTACGCCCCGGCTGACGTCATCAGACTTTGAAAGCGTGAATCCGTCAGGAGGAAATAACGAGTTGTCTAATGGCAGTGGGAAGCTCGGAGATTGATCAAATCAATAGCAGCATCCGCTGGCACCAGACTGAGACTCGGTACCGGAGACCTGGATCTGTGACCGTGGGGGAGGAGGGGGGGGGGGGGGTGAGATCGATACACAGAGCAAACATCGCCACGGTATTGACGACCGATTACTGCAAATGTCTATTGTCTTAGCTGTTCTGGTGGGGGGGGGGGGAGAAAATAGAGGAAGAATTCACTTGGTTATAGATTTGTTGTGTTTCCTTTTTGTGTGTTAAGAAAGTGAACACAAAGAAAGACGTGGTTGGTTAGTTTGATGGTTAATTGATTGGCTGGTTGCTATGTTGTGTGGGATTAGTTCTTTTCTCTAGTTGCTTTATCAGTTAAAGTTCATTAAATTAATTTCTCGTTAATGTTTTGTTAACTAAAGCTCGATTTAATCGTGGGATATGGCTCGCTTCCTTCCGCAGCATAGCTATACATTTCTGGTTCGGTTCGAATAATCGGAATCCGATTATCGGAACTGACGTGTGTGTGAAGAGAAAGAATGTTCACGTACTACGATCTATATAATACTATTGGTAAATGTGTATTTTCTCTCTGTGTTTACATTTTAAACGTTTTGATAGTGTTTGTTGTGCTTTATTTATCGGCGTCATAATCTAGTGCTGTTGTGGTGTAGGATAGTGAGACCTGGTTTAGTACAGATTTAAAAAAAAATAATTGATTTACAGCTACAAAATTATGTTAATTGAACTGAGTAAAAACCATATAATATGATTGAATATACTGAATTATTGGATAATGGCCACTCTTTAATGCAACTTATTCTCAATTGAGCTGCCTTGTTTAGACAGATTTTGTTAAAGCCATGTTATGATGGCTTCAGACTTTGGACTATTTGTCGTTGTTATCTTCTAGTTTGTTAAAAATAAAAGTAGAGTCAGTGCGTTTTTGTAAAGTCGATGGTTATTACATTCTGTGACTTAACTCTGGGAGCTTAAATGAGTGAGCTAGGTCCTGAACTAGCCCTATTTTTTCACTCGACCGTTAGCTCGGTCTGAACTAGCCCCATTACGTCACTCGACCGTTAGCTCGGTCAGCATACCAAGTCTATTACCTCCACTGGTTACAGCAAAACCCGGCTAAGCTCTGTTGGACGTCGGTCAATTAGAGGAAATGTCCGCGTCGTGTTCCTGCTTGCTGTAACTACCACATTCCTCACATTGTGAGGTGGTGTGTGTGTGTATGGGGGGGGGTGTATGTAGGGGGTGGGGTGATATTAGCACTTATGATGTAAACATGAAATAAACACAAAGAACGGATGCCTTGACAGCACTATAGCGCAGCGCCTAGCCCTTAACCTAATCCTAACTTAAAAATCTACCATTAGAAAATGTACAAGAGATATACCCAGTACTAACAGCTAGTCTACAAGAGATATATCCAGTACTAACAGCTAGTCTGTATTAACCGTACCCAAGCCCATATTGACTAGTACCTGGCTTAATTTAGGTTGTTATATTCACTACAGTCCATTGTTTCAAACACGTAACACGTATTCAAGTATATCATTACGTAATCTTTACGTAACTAACCCGTCTTAACCAAAACTCCTCAACCCTCGTTCTGACACTTGTTATTTAAGCAATCTAACGAGTCGTTACACTGGGAACCCGCCTCGTGGTACCTCTTAGCGGAAATGTACCCAGGTGGCTTTGTTGCGAATTAGCCGCTGAGAAATTCTCCTTGTCCGGTTGCCATGGGATCGATCACGTGACATGCCATCACACGCATGACCAGCGACACGAGCTTTACCTAGGTGCCTCGATAGCCAATCAGTTGCCTTGGTTACCAGTACGGGCTAACGTGGCGTCGGGCGTTGCTATGGTGCCGTGTGGTAAGTAGCTTCCGGTGTAGTGTGGGAACAGATTTTTTTTGTGAGAAATTTTTGTATGGGGGGGGGGGCGGTCAGATATGTGTGGGGGGGGGGGGGGTGACATCTGTTAGTGCTACAGTTCTCAATTAACTTGTTCATTGTTTCCATCCCCCCCCCCCCCAATCGCCCTATACCCCCCACTCGACCCAGGACTCCGTGTTGGCTCATCAATACCAGACGAGGTCACGCATGACTCAAGCCAGAGGAAAATAAAAATTCGATTTTAAAAAAATTATTTCTGGTTTGTACAGTGGATCAAATGATTGGGGAGGGGGGGGGGGGTCAGTTTCAGGAAGGGGGTTGGGTGTGTGATATAACTGAAAAAGGGTGTCGGTATATGATATGATTGAGGATGGGGGTCGGGTGGTTGATATAAATGTGAAAGGTATCTTTGCGGCTATACTTATAAATCACATGATCAGCTCAACACTAGACCATGTGGTATGTTAGACGTCTTGTCATGCTTGACGTCTTGCTTTGTTTGACGTCTTATCTTGCTTGACGTCTTGCTTTGTTTGACGTCTTGCCTTGTTTGACGTCTTGCCTTGTTTGACGTCTTGCCTAACTTGACGTCTTGCTTTGTTTGACGTCTTGCCTAGCTTGACGTCTTGCCTAACTTGACGTCTTGTCTCGCTTGACGTCTTGTCTTGCATGACGTCTTATATTGCTATACGTCTTGCCTAGCTTGACGTCTTGTCTCGCTTGACGTCTTGTCTTGCCTGACGTCTTATATTGCTATACGTCTTGCCTAACTTGACGTCTTGTCTCGCTTGACGTCTTGTCTTGCATGACGTCTTATATTGCTATACGTCTTGCCTAGCTTGACGTCTTGCCTAACTTGACGTCTTGTCTCGCTTGACGTCTTGTCTTGCATGACGTCTTATATTGCTATACGTCTTGCCTAGCTTGACGTCTTGCCTAACTTGACGTCTTGTCTCGCTTGACGTCTTGTCTTGCATGACGTCTTATATTGCTATACGTCTTGCCTAGCTTGACGTCTTGCCTAACTTGACGTCTTGCCTAGCTTGACGTCTTGCCTTGCCTGATAACCCCTCACAAAAAGTACCCCAAAACATGCAATACAATCACGTGAGGTTAAGCCGTCCATTCTGTGTTGTTGTTTTTTAACCTGATAGATTGAATACATTGGCTTGCAGTGTGACCATAAATATAACAAATCCATTTATCTTTCTTTACTTCCGTGTTTGGTAGTGATCTCCCCTGCTGTAAGCTGACTGCTGAGACTGTTCTCCACCTCAATCGAGCGGACTTAGGGTACATTGGTGATACCAGCAGAGCGGGTTGAAGGTTTCTTTTTGCCGGCTTTAAACGTGGGCCAAACACTGGGGTAGGGAGGGGGAGGCACCAAGTAGTCACTCTTAGTCTTATAGGGGGGGGGGAGGCACAGAATAGCCTTCCTTAGGGAGGAAGTGTGACACAGAAAAACCATGTATAGGGAGGTGAGGAGGCACCAAATAGTCACACTTATGGGGGGGGGAGGCACAGAATAGACATCCTTGTGGGGAAGGGGAGGCACAGACTAGCCTACTTTATTTTTTTAAAAACTTACCTCAAACTAACAAACTCTGCAAACATCTGCCAGCCCTGCCCCCCCCCCCCCTCCCCAAGTTCCCTGCACCCGAAGCTTACATTGATAACTTATATTTTTACAAACATTGGTACACCGCCCAGGGCGCTGCCGCTACAACTGTCGCAATGGGGAGGAGGGGTTTGACAAGAAGGGGGCGTGGGGAGGTTTCCTCTTACAGCCGACTGTACAGGTGGAGGGGCGGGGTGTGGGTAAAGCCAGGAGGTTTGGTAAACTTTATTTTTTTAACTTTACATTTTAGTTTTGTTCTTGTACTATACACTGCTCGCACGGAATATCTGAAGACAGGGGTTGCTGCAGATGTAGATAGGTACATCAGATACTGGGCCAGACTCTTCATTTGACCGTCTTCTTCGTCACATCATCAAAAATCGTCATCACGCCAACCCTCTCTACACCAACCCTACATACGCCAACCCTCTCTACACCAACCCTACATACCCCAACCTGCTCTACCCTAATCGTATACACCTACCCTGTATAGATCTACGCCAACCCTCTCTACTCCTGTCTACACCAACACCAATATGCGTCAACCCTCTCTACACTACCCCTATCTACAACCCCCTATCTACGCCATCCCAAACTACGACTACAAACACCCCTAAATACAAACACCCCTATATACGCCATCCCTGGCTACTTCTAGACCAGTAACGCTACCAATGGCTACGCCTACCTTAGCTACGCCACCCGCCCCAACCCCAGTGTACTCTACCCCTGACTATACCCCACCCTAGGTACACCACCCTACTACGCCCCTGTACCCCCCAGTCAGAGATCGTTAACTGCTCAACTTTGCTTCTAACAGACAGTCCTCGTCATCGTCCACACATTTCCGTTAGCCCGCCCCCTCCCTCCCCACTATATACCAGGCCTAAGTATTAAAGTAATGATTGGCGAATTATTGAATTCTTGCTCGGCAGAGAGAAGCGTTAAGTATGAGACGGGGGGGAGTGGGGTGTAGATTTTTTTTTAATCCGCAATTTTTTTCCACCCTCGTACATCCCTCACTCGCTAATTGGCGGGGCGGGGCGTATGTCATGCTCGCGGACCAATCATTTTGTGAACACCCCCCATTGGCGTGGCGCTAATTAGGCGCGGGGAGCCCCCTCCGGTCTGGTAGATGTAGTGAAGGAGAAAATCGGTGCGGACCTGCCACATAGATCTCTGATTTCTCACCGCTGCGCCTCGCGACAAAGGTAGAAGCGACAAATCGCCGTGGTTCTATACTGCTAGGGCTGCCACCGTTTCCCGCGGGTTTTATTTTTAAACTGGAGGCAGCAACCCGGTGCAGTTTTATCACATCGTAGTCTCGTGTCGGCCTCATTCAGTTCGCCCATGTTCGCTTGGACGTGGTGTAAAAAAAAAATAAGTTTTATACTTAGAAAAACTTTAGGAAAACTTTGATTTATTATAACTATTTGAAAGTTTTATTCACAAGTTTTCCTGACGTGTGTTGTTTTATTGTGAAGTGTGTCCGAAGTAGATTTTTGACCTGTGTTCTGTTATCACGCGGCGCGGTAGATTATAACGGAGAGGAGAAAAAAAACTTGAAACTTGAAAACAAAGTTTTAAAGTTCGTAAAGTGGTTCAAGTTTTCCTGTCTGTGTTACTTCAGTAACGTTGGTGTTGTCGTTGTCTGATCCGGTAAGGAGACCACACAGAACAATATATTCTACATCTACATATATAATATATAGATTCTATCGAGATTTCTAGATCTAGAATCAATCTTCATATTTTCTTCTGCGGTTGGAAAAGCTCTGGATCTTTACTGAATATTGTCAATATTGATTGATTTTATTAACGGATATTTAACTGACTCAAGGTAAGGAAATATTCCATAAATATTATTTTTTAAATGTTTAGTTTAATGAATGTAAAGGTTTTCTAATCAATTAATACTTGTGTAATAATTAATATTCATATTAATATTATCATAACTTTAATTTAACAGCTTTTTATTATCTAACTCTAACAGTCCAACTCAATACTTAAATTTGAATATTCATTTGTTTACTTAATACTTTAGACCTTAGGTCTCCTATTTTAAATTTTTATCCTATGTAATTTATTGTAGATCTATAGATTCTATGTAGATCTAGTATGTAAAGATCTAATATCGGCCTTTGCCCAATAGGCGTAATTTAACAGTTAACCGTTGAAAAAATGTACACTAATCAACTAATGGCAACGTTGAAGAGCGAAATGTAATGTTTTAAAGTCTATATCAAATAACCTCTAGATTCTAGATCTAGATGGATGTATGTTTCCTTGTGTCTTGAAACTGCCCTCATGAGTATACTCAGTCACTAGAGCTATATTGCCGCTAGATCTAGAAAGACTATTTTTAGAAAGACTAGGTCTAGACTCTAGAAAAGTCTAGATCTAGATCTAGATCTATATTAAATTCTAATGAGAAGTCTTTGCACCGAGTTGGTGCGTATTCTCATTACTCTGTGATGTATGCTTTTATTTTTATAAACACAAAAAAGTATGTTAAAAATAAAAAACATAAGAACTGATAAATTCTGATAGATTTAGAATCTTTTTTTTTTATAAGCATTGGTTAATTTGCAAACATCTCCATTATAATCAATGACTATAGCCTTTTAAACCAGACATCTTTATTTTTCGAATACTGACTCAGTTTTTTTAACTGAAGTAATTTTTCTAGTGGGGTTAAACCTAAACTGATTCGAGTTTTAAAGATCAACCTTTTAAAATCAAAGGAAATTGTTAATCTTTATACTTTTCATCCACTTGATTTTTAAGATCCCGTAATTATGTCATATGTTCATTAAGAAATTTGTAATGAATCATTAAGTTTACTCATTCTTTTAATTTTAAAAGTGTAATTAAACAATAAGTGACGTGGGTTTTTTGTAATGTAAATCACGGGTAGCCAATAACTTGTCTAATCGCTGGTCTATATTCCCAATTAAAATACCCTACCCATAACATCAAGCCCCAATGTTGTTTTGTACTTTGACTACAAGTAACAAACGACAAAACGCATTAAGTGACTTGTCCTTCTGGATTAAGGTTTGGTTCATGTTATGTGTGGGGGTCCAACTATACCAATCGAGCGATGTTATGTGTGGAGGTCTATGTACGTTATGTGTGGGGGTCCAGCTATACCAATCATGTGATGTAATGCATGGGGGGTCCAGCTATACCAATCATGCGATGTTATGTGTGGGGGTCCAGCTATACCAATCATGCGATGTCATGTGTGGGGGTCCAGCTATACCAATCATGCGATGTCATTGTGTGGGGGTCCAGCTATACCAATCATGTGATGTAATGCATTGGGGTCCAGCTATACCAATCATGCGATGTTATGTGTGGGGGTCCAGCTATACCAATCATGTGATGTTATGTGTGGGGGTCCAGCTATACCAATCATGCGATGTTATGTGTGGGGGTCCAGCTATACCAATCATGCGATGTTATGTGTGGGGGTCCAGGTATACCAATCATGCGATGTTATGTGTGGGGGTCCAGCTATACCAATCAAGCGATGAACGTTATGTGTGAGGGTCCAGCTATACCAATCATGCCATGGATGTTATGTGTGGGGGTTCAGCTATACCAATCATGCGATGGACGTTATGTGTGGGGGTCCAGCTATACCAATCATGCCATGGACGTTATGTGTGGGGGTCCAGCTATACCAATCATGCGATGGACGTGATACCGTAGGCTGTCCGACTCAATGAACCGTGCTATCATTTATTTTCTCTTTGGTTTAGTTTTTATCAACGTTCGCCCACTGTAAACTGACCCACGGTATAAACACAAGTTTCTCATTCCATCCCCCAACCCCTCACCCCCCACTCCATTCAACCACGTGACTCCCGTCCAGTTTAAATCTCCGCGAGCCGGCAATTGTTTTTATTTTCACATGCGGGCTGCCAGATAAGTAGCGCCACTTTATCAGGCTCTGGCCTCGGGTTCTTGCATTGTTACAGGCTGCACGTGATCCCATGTTCACCCAGCATTCCCGGCCCTAGTACAGCCTCCACAGCTTCCGTCTACCCCCTCCCTCCCTCACCCACACAACACCGCTATTTTGATACTTTAAATAAACCGAATTAAAAAAAGAATAACAATTATAAAAATAAATTAAAAAAATAGCACCAAAACATAAGCCGGTCAGGAGGCCAGATTTTTAGAAAGAAAAAAAAAACCAGCCAAAACATTCCTATTCCTTTTCCTCCCTGGCAAATCTAATTTATCCTACGCCCTAGTGAACTAGATACGGGCACAATGGATAGAGTTTCGCATCCATCTCCCCCACTCAAGACTCGAGCGCTCGACGTACACCGTCAAAGCACCAAGCTCTTCTAATTACTTTAACCTGTTTGAAAAAAAAAATATTTAAAAATAAACTCCTGCAAAAAAAAAAAAAAAAAATGCAAACAGTCTTCCCCCACTTACTTCCCTTGAATGCGTATCACATGCGTCTACTCTGATTGATTCGACTCACGCGTCAATGACGCTCGGCTGACCACTTGACGCGTGCACTAGAAAATATCATCCGTCATACGCTCGTCTAGTGGACTTACGTAACAAGTATCACCTGGTCTTGTCAAGGGCACATTTATCAACCTTGACCTTTGAGAGTTAGTTTCACGTGTTGTTTCGCGTTCTACATACCTGATGTAGGTGCTTACATGGCATGCTGTAATTACTGTAATTTTGTGTAATTTGTCGCATGTTCTATGCTTTAATTACTGTAGTTATCTCTAATTCGTAACAGGTTCTATTTGCATAGTATTACTTTTTAAACCCCACATTATTGTTAGACCGGGGGGGTGGGGGCTGGGGGGTTGGTGATGCAACTTCACACATCACAGTTAAAAGATTATAATCAAGAGATTTGTTTTATTATCTCAGTAATAATTATATCTGCCCGTTTGTTTTGTTTATATTTGGTAAAAGAACCCTATTGTTGTTTTAAATAAGCTGTTCATAAATATATTTTTTTAAACTAAAAGGCGTATAGCCGGATAAATATTACAAGATTCTATTTGGGATTTTTTTGGGCAATTTTTTAAACATCTTCTGCGCCTAATCATTTTGTGCCGCCACCGGTGTGCTACATTTCTGCTAGTACTCCCCCCCCCCCCCCCCCGCCTGTTTCTCCCAGTACCCCCACTGTTTTTGCTTAAAGCGCCAGTGGGGTGCAACATTTCAAGGATGTAATTAGCAGATGCTGTCATATGTGATATTTCTCAACGCCTGTAAAAAAAAATTTTACACCCGTCTCCAACTGGAATCAAAATGTCACTCCCCCACCCCTGACAGACGTGTTTAGCCTACTCACTCAACCATGGCATGGCGGGAAAGTTTTTTTTTTTTTTTTTAAATTCAAATTTCTAAAAGTCTGAGATGCATGTCTTAAAATATCTAGTCTAGCTACGTCTAGATCCTCGTTTGTTTTGTCTGTGGTGTTTGTAGGGAGAAAGTAGGCTGGGTTCTACAGGGGCAGCTAAACTAACTGGCGCCCTGGCGGAGTATTCACTTTAACGCCCATGTATACCGAAATACGTAGGGGCGGACTACTCCTCATCCAGCCTTATTTTTATATCCATACAGGGTTCATATGCCGCATACTGAGGATGTACGTTTGGCTTTGTTTATTTTTCTACGTAAAAATCTGAAAAAGTAGAAATGTAACCCGGAGGCTCAACTTTATTTGCAGTGTTGAAAAATCGTTAGGTTTTTGTTTTACTGGTATACACGTGTAGCGAGACCTAAACGTTTAATATTTGCGTTAAATTTAATTATTAAAAGCGAAGCTGTACATATTAAAAAAAACTGTTTATTCTTTAAAACTAGAACGAAAAAAAAACGGAACAAAAATAAAGGTCCGTTTGATCCCACGTGACCGCCGTGTTTAAAAAACGCCGAGGTTCACCTAATCACCGAGACAGAACGTAAACTGGATGCAGGATAGCTTTACACATTACATTCTGAAATATTTGGGATTTTTTTTCTTCTTCAAAACAATAATATAAATTCTTCGTGCGGCTGTAATTTGATGCGTGTGAAATTTTTTCATCTTTTAATTGGGGTGTGTTTAGGTTACGAGACCCGGGATTTTAATTGTTTGTTTAGTAAAGTTGCAATGGGTCATGGAGTACAGAAGATCTGGTGTTTGGCGTGTTTTTGCGCCTATATTTTTTTTTTACAATTAATAATTAAATTAGTTAATGAGCGAAGCTGTGATTTTTGTCCGTTCGTATTTTTTACTGCTAATAGTGCTAGCACTTCAGTTAGAAGTGCTAGCACTTACTTGCAACATTCCACCACAGCCTGCCGTTAATTAGCAATTACACCACTATTTCCAACCTTGCTGATTACAGCTGCATTACCAACCTTCCTGATTACACCGGTAATGACAACCTTGCTGTTTAAACAAGTTACAGCAACCTGCCCATGCAAGCAACCACTGGGATTTGTAAATGTAAACCAGACGTCTATGACACAACACCCAGCATGTGTCCATCTTGTTGCTACCCCCCCCCCCCCCCCCCCCCCCCATCCTCTCTTTGTCCTGCCAGCTCCCCACACAACCCCAGGGCGGGCTGAACCTGTTTCTCTCATTTTACATTACGTCACTTATCACCCCCCCCCCTCCCCTCACTAATTGTATATGTCCAACGTTACTTATCTGCCAGCCTCTCTGTGATCAAGCCGAGTTTCCGTCCCATCCATTTACAGCCCCCCTTCCCTCTTCAAACCCCCCCCCCCCCCCCCGCCTTATCCAAACACCACCCTTAAGTTGCCTTTGCCCGTCTCCCCAGACAACCCCGCCCA